AATTCATTGGTGTGACTGTGGTTGTTTTAACTTTGTGGTCACCAGATAACAAAAGTTTGAAATATCATGACTTTTTCCAATGATAACAAGATGATTACTAATCTCTCATGATCTCCAAAAACATAATGCAAACCTGCTGGTGGATTTTGGTTTGCACCCATGCTCAAATTGTTAACTAATTTCTGACCAGCACAAGAACAACATCACTCCCTGTGAGGAAAGATAGCGATGTCACATGAACTCCTCCTTTGGTTTGCAGTTGATTCAGTTTATAATAACAACAGTGTTCAATTCTGATATCAAATTCAAGCAACATTTGGCAAAGCTGCTGATTATAGAGGATTATTCCCACGTCACAATCCATAGAGTTATTACTGACTGGACGGCAACAGTGGGGAAAGTCCTATAAAAATGAAATGTTGAAGTTGAAATTACGCCATTGGTTGGCAGAGCGAGTGCTGGAGTTTCCCCAATTAGCCAATGTACTTTGAAATAAAAATTTTATGACATCATTAGGGAGGCTTTTACAGGCAGTGTTGCCAACTAAGCATCTTCATCTCCCTGTATTTACTTCCTTTTAGACTTTTCTAGAATCTAGATTTTTTTGGATTTAGTTTTAATGGGCCTTATTTCAGTCAGTATTTAATTCAATGTATGTGAGCTCAGAGATTAACAGAGAAAAGGAACAGATAAAGGGCTAAAAGCTGCTGATACCAGGCAGAATGCAAATACGATGCAATTAAATCATAAATACAAAGATGAGCGTATTATGTCATCTTGCAAATTTTCAAGCAGGCTTTGGCTCCTTTTCTTTAGTTGTTAACAAGTAGTTCCACAACAGTTTACGACCTCAATTTGCACATTGACCATTCATCCAGCCACATACTGGGAAATCGTCTTATCTAATTACCATAAGACCAGATGTAATATTTAGAGCTGAGAAGATACTTTAACTTTAAAATTAGAAAAACTAGCAAAATTATATTAAAAAAACTGTTTTGGCAGTGTCATTGAATCATTTTAACTTGTAATCTGTGCAAAAACCTAGACACTTATTTCATGGCCTAACTTTCCATGACATTTAACTGATACCTACATACAAGATTTTAATTACTCTATTCACTAACAAAATAAAGACAGGAAATAACATCCTCAGCCAAGTTAACACTTATGGCTTCTACAACCCCAGAGTCCCCGTCTGAATATGAGAACCAATGAGCAGTCCAAGACAAGTGCAAGTCATCCCTGAGACTGGTCCATGAACTTCCACAGACGTCAGATTCAGCATTAAACAACCCTGCTGGGAAACTAAACAAGTCACACTGACCGGCCTAAAAATTGTGTTTGGTGCCATTTGTGCAGCTTCAGTAGCTCTACTTTCATACAACATTTAAGACAAAAACACAGGGGCATCATCGTCATCAATCAATCACTAAAAAGGCTCTTTGAGCAGCATGTAAACCAGACTGGTCAGAGATCAAGTGGATGACAAGACAATGTTTAAGTGGATCACACAGTTATTATTGCTAAAATGATTATCGCTTTGACTTATTTGAATAATGAACACCCTCCAGATACCTGACCAGGAGCTGGTCTCCATCCACAGATATGTAGAGCTGTGAGATTTCACTGTAACTGGAGATGGGTGGGGAAGAGCTGAGTGAAGTGATTCAGCATGTGGTGCTCCAACATGCTTCAGGGACTTGGCCCTCTGGCCGCTGACAGATCGACATAAAGTCATCACGTGTCTCTGAGATGGCCTCGGCTCTGTAGGCTCTGGAAGTGCGCCTCCCTTAGAAGGCGGTTGATCTGCAGGTAGGACACCAGGTTTGTGGGGCCGGCCAGTTCTGAGGAGTCTCCAGAGCTGAGGGGACTGTAGGGGCCCACAGCACACTGACTGCTGCAGCTCCCGGCTGCATGTTCTGGACTGCTGATGCTGCTCTCACTGTTGGATGACTGAAAGGTAGATTTCATCATTAGCAGCGTCCTTGCAAACCTAGTCCTTTGTTTAAGACCAGACAGATATGAATCTGTCAGCATCCAAGGCTTCTTCTGTGTTCATGAATGAAGGTCAACCAGGTTTCGCTCTGACAGAGTTACTGTCGTTCACCAAGAAAATAGACCTTAAGTGTAAAACTATAATAAATGTGCATTCTTCACAGCTAACGTTCAAACCAATATGTGGCCTATGTAGACAGCTGGACTGATTGAAGTAGAAACAAATATGCAGTGCCTCTTGTGTAGACATGACATTGGTCCACTTCAAAGCAAACTCTTTGTTTGTGGTGTAAAAGCTACAGTGGCCTTCACAGGGCACTAGATCTGCAGTCTCATGGTAAAGAACTCCAAAGCTTCAAGGTTGCATTGTGGTTGTGAGTCCACATTTACACCACACAAAATCTGCGTAAAGCTTGATTTGTCATACCCTTCTAGATGCCACACAAGTTACGTGGACTAGAATAGTATGTGTGAATAAACCTTTGATTTGTATGCGATATGGTTCCATGTGGGTTCAGTCCACAAAGCTTTTGCATTCCCAACTCTTTAAACTTTGATGATATGTTTCAAGTTTAAAGTCAACCACGTGTTTCTCTATATAAACATCTGTCTAGGTCCTGTCAGCCCTTGTTGATGTTACTTGCGGCCTCCCCATCCCCACAGTCCTAATTATTTCAAGTATGATTGAGATGTGCATCATATGAGCTAAAGACAACATGATAACTGAGGTAAAACATATTCATCATATTCACATATTCAATTTCCCATGACTTAAAGTATTCTTCCATTGATCAGTGATATTGAAAGTTGTAAAGTATTGCCCAACTTCTTTTCATTCACCTAATTTGATTTCTGCATATGCGTACACATAATGCAGATGATAACACACAATTATTATTGTAAAAACTGTCCAATAAATGTACCTGTCTGTGAACATAAGTTCATGTTTACACATCCTGCTTGTGCAAATTGAAAGCCATCAATGTTTTTGTCATTTAGGTCCCCACATAACAAACAAAAACCGCTTCTACTGAAAATGTGTTTGGTTTGCTTCTGTTTCACTTTCTTCAGTATTAAGAGATTTTTCCACACTGACACTTATCTGTACCTCGGAGTCCCAGGCATCCCGGCCTGGCTCAGGAGAGAGGGGGTGAGCTCTACTTTGCCTCTTGGCTTGGGGCACCAGGTGGCCACCTTCCTCATCACCACCACTGCGCTGTCGTTTCCTGAAAGGAAGCAAGCACACAGACATTAAACACACAAATATATATGTACAGAATGTGCCATCATGGAGGATCGCTCTCTCCAATCTTTTAGAGAAAAGAGCAAATAGCATCTGGGATCTGAGTAAATCTAGGGAAGGTCAATAAAATGATCCACTCGTAATTTTCTGGTTCGGCCACAGTGTTTGCAAAACACCGCTGACACCATATTAATCTGGAGCCAACACATCATCCTGTTGTCGTCAAAACAAACTTGCTCTGTTACCAACAGACGAGATCAGGAAAAGTTACTTGTACAATTGTCATACATTTTTGTCGTTGGTAATAAATGCACGACCAGCTGCTGCTAGCATAATGCTCTCTCTTTTTAATGGCTGCTCAGAGATAATAATAAAGGCCACTTCTACTGTTCCAGAAACCATTTGATCGATCAGGAAGTGATAGAGCAGCTTCATTGGGCCCCGCTCACCTGTTTTCAGTCAACATATGTTGACGCTAAATCGGTTTCCTCTTTGTGTTTGTGCAGATCGGAGAGGAGGAAGCGGCTGGTTGATGTTGTCGACTTGTTAACGCAGCTTGTGTCAGTCGACGGCCTACCACCTGAGCTAGCTCCACTAAACGTGCCTGGTTACGTCGAATAATGACGTGATGCTGACAGTCATTTTGTCATCACTAACAAAACAATCGAGTAAAGCAAATAACCACAGATACTAATGAACCACAACGAGCCTTAGCGGGCTAGCTAGGTTCTTAAGCCTGCCCCAGGCGCTTCATCGTTGCTTACAAGCTAATGCTAACGTCACAGCTAGCTAGCCTTCTTAGCTGCTCTACACTACGTAACTAGTTCTTCCACCACATCAGATATTGTGGAATTTGCGTAGTTAGGCTAATAGTCTTTAGTACAACCCGAGTTAAACTGCAGCTCTTTCAGCTACACTTAGCTAACGATGATAGCCCGAGATACGACCGGCCGCGACACTCGTGTTTACATGTCACCGCGCATGCGCTCAGACCAGGAACGGTGCTTTTAAGAGCTGTCGGACAAATCCACAATCCACAATGATAGTTTGTAAATCGGGAAGTGTTGGATATTATAACACGGTGACAGAAACGTGAGTATAATACGCGTTAAAAAATATATTGTTAGAGATGTTTACTGAAATTATCAACCTCATTCATTTGGATTTTGTAGGTTGGGTGTTAACTTCGGATTTATCTAAGGCGCTTACGAGCAGCACTTTAAAGCAACACAAACAGTGAGCTGCTCTTGCGCTGGAATAATTTACAAGAAAACTGCTTATTCACGTAATTTTACGTTTAAATTAGCGAAAAACTACGAGTTTTATAGTTCGCGCCCTGCTATGAAAGTATAGTTGGCATAAATCAGGCATTGCAATTGGTAATTTGGCCTGACACGATGTGATTTTCCCCAAAAGAGGTCGCTGTTTACAATAGAAATTTGCTATTAACAATGTAACAGGACATAATAATAAGAAAATAGCGAATTGTGTTAACAATAAAAATATATCTAGAGTGTAACATACAGGAGTCAGCAGCCCGTCTCCCTATAAAAGCACGATATATAATATATATAATATGGAATAATTAACACCATGCATCTACACTATAATGTATATTTTGTTTTGTACAGCTGTTAAATGTATAACTGCAAAACATTTGGTTGAATTTAAGTGTTGACATCTTCCCAACCCGGAAGTTACACCACTGATCCTGCCCGTCCAGCCAGCCAATCGTGCGTAAAAACGCCTCCGCCAATGACTCAAGCGCAGAACGGAGGTGAGATTATCAGGGATCCTCGGCGGCAGCAGCTCCTGTTGGCGTGAAGGGAAATAATCGCGATGGGCAGCACCGACTCCAAACTGAACTTCAGAAAAGCGGTGATTCAGCTGACGACCAAAACACAGGTAACATGCGCCGCCACGCACAGGGATGAAGGAGCGCACACAGAGAGAGAGAGACAGAGGAGGAGGCGAGGAGGAGCGCATCATCACCGAGGAGGAGAAGACGTTCTTCATATGGCTCAACAAAACAGCTCCAACAGTGTCATGTTGCATTCAGCATTTTAAATTATCTTGTGTTTATCCTGCATAATAGAAATGATAATAAGACCGACGTTAGATATTTGCATCCACCGCGTTGATCGTGGTTGGATTAAATGACGGTCGATCCTGCCATGATCGTCACAAACCTTCAGTGCAGCCCTGAGGCTAAACGTTGAGTTTTGACGACAAGATAAACGATGGCGTAGCTGAATCAACGCTGGTGACGTAGGTCTGCAAATGGGCACATTTTGCAGATGCGGCAGGTGGACCGTGCTGAGTGTGCCAGATAAAGCTGCTCTCCTCAAAGCTGCCAGAGGAGAGGGAGGCTGTGTTTACATTGCCATTAGGCAGGCCAGGCCTCTGGGTGAGCCGTGTAACATAAGACCAACCAACCATGTGTGCATCATCAGGAAAATGACAAAGTGGTGCATTGCAATGAGATGCAAGGCCATTGTATTTGAGAGCTCAGTGACATGTTTACTCAGTTATAATGGAAGTGAAATGTTAGAATCATACAGTATGTGTGTGTGTGTGTGTGTGTGTGTGTTTCTGCAGCCAGTGGAAGCCACAGACGATGCCTTCTGGGACCAGTTCTGGGCAGACACCACCACCACAGTCCAGGATGTTTTTGCACTGGTGCCAGCTGCAGAGATAAGAGCTGTTCGAGAAGAGTCCCCTTCAAATTTAGCAACCCTCTGCTATAAGGTAATACCCATAAAGCATCAGTGATGTCTATGTAATGTAATTTTTTTGTATGCCAAGTGGATGTGCTTACTTTAAAGCTACCTCGGGGAAGAATGTTATTTTGAATCAATGCAGGATTTTGTGTGTAAGAGCCCAGCACTGTAGTCTGTCACTGCCTCTCAGATGTGGGAACAAGTGAGTCAACTCCCCTTCCTTTCCCCTGGCTTCCTGTCTCTCGCTCCCAGCTTCCATTCGAAGCCGCCTCTCCAAATCAAAACAGACATTCTGGGTATACTCACAGCCTAATTAAATAAAGAGGAGGAGAGGAGAGCCCTCGAATCAGAGCTGATTCAAAGGGGTTTGTTTACCTAGTTCAGAAATAGGCTGCAGCCGGCTGTTGATTAAATGCAGATGATTAATTATTTTTAACAGTAAAATCTTAAAGGCCCCAAAACAAGAGCACTTGTTCTTATCTCCTAGACAATATATTTTAATTATGAAAAGAAAAGTGTAGATATCTAGTGTTCTTCCCAGTGTAAATGATATAAGGAATATAAACAGGCTTTAATGAGATGCTGCTGTTTGTTTGTAAAAATTGAGACACTCCAGCTCAGTTGATAGTTGCCTTTGTTCAGATGCTGAATATTTGTTCTAAAACTAGTCAGTGTCATGTAAATGACATCGTAAATGAGAGACGAGAGCCCAACTGATTCCGACTTTTGGAGACTGATGCCATTATTACAAAGTAAAACTTTTCAGATACAATATTTCTCCATCAAATTTCCCAATGACCCCTCAAATGTACCTCACAGAATAAAAGCAATACAAAAATTATAACAACTATACCCCCACCCATCCACCCATTCCCATCCATGAGCAACATGAACAAGTAAATACTTGAATAACTAAATAGAATAAAATTATATATCTGTAAAAAAGGCTCTGATGTATAAATCAATAGAGATAAATTAATATAATCCAATTAAAAGGTAGGACTTACTTGACTTTGCTTCCTCACCGTGTTTCCGGACTCTTCAGGCCGTGGAGAAGCTGGTGCAGGGTGCAGAGTCCGGCTGTCCGTCAGAGCGAGAGAAGCAGGTGATCCTGAACAGCACTCGCATCCTGACCCGCATCCTCCCATACATCTTTGAGGACCAGGACTGGAGAGGATTCTTCTGGTCGACCGTGCCTGGTGCTGGGCGGGCCGGGGTGAGTGGGCACAACAAAAGGAACACTTACTTTAACACAAACTAAAAAGATATTTAAATATTTATAAGCATCAAAACAAGGGGTTTTAATGACTTTCAAACATTTATTACCTCCGCCAAGAAAGTAATGTTTTCGTCTTATTTAGCAGGATTACACAAAAACTGCTGGACGGATTACCATGCATCTTGGTAGAAGGATGCTACATGGGTCAGGAAAGAACTCATTACATTTTGGAACAGATCTGGATCAAAAGGCGGATCCAGGAATTTTTGTCAAAGATTCCAACATTGGGCATTTTCAAATTTTATTGATATCTCAGAGAATAATTCATGAAAATGAATAAGAAATCAGGCATGTTTAGGCGACTGCTATTTGTGAGTGTCTGCAATTTGGTGCAGATCCAAATAAAAATCTGGATGTATAGTGAATTCAAATGTGGACAGGGGACTGTCAGACCTTGGTGGAGGTTTGCACTCTACTCAGTGTCATCTCAGTTTTCAGAAACCAATGCTGTTGTTGCACAATCTTACTTTGGGAATAATTTGTTTGTTATTGAGACATAATAGCTCAGTCACAGAAATTCTTTGTTCTCAGATTCCTATTCAGTCCAGTGATGCAATGCAATGAATTCAAAAAGGTCACCAGCCTGTCCTTATACATACACAATACATCTTTTACTCAGCTCATCATTTGAATTGGCTTCCTCATTCGAGTTGAAAAGAGACAGATGTGTATTTTCAAAAAAAATTATGTTTAAGATCTAGATTTAATCTGAAATATCTATCCTTTCTTTTCAGACAGATGAGCTGGACGACGATGACGGAGCTCGACCACTGGCCGAGTCGCTGCTCCTGGCCATCGCTGACCTGCTCTTCTGCCCTGACTTCACGGTGCACAGCCACAGGAGAGGCCCAGTGAGTACTCTGTGTCCTAAAGCATTGTCTTATCTACTGTCATCAGTTTGTCACCCTGCAACTAAAAAAAATGGCTGCTCACACGTTGTGACAACAGAGGGTCACAGACACACACATATTTCCCTAGTATCTTGTTCCAGCTCTTGTCCTAATCTTTGAATTGTTAGACATACTTTGTGAGCCCTGAAGTTGCTCAACCACACCATCACTCAAGTTTCTCTGAAGAGAGGACATAGGAGTGTCACCAGGAAGAATTCCTCGTCCCTCACGAAGAAGACTAAAGCTCTGCTGATCACAGTCAATGCTCTTGAAGGCGGGGTCTTTCTCTGCTTGTTTAAAAAGTATTTCCAAGGTTATTTTCTACCCGGCTGCTTCACCTTATCTTCAATCGTAGCGATCAAGTGTATTTCTAGGATTCTGTTATTCCTTCATGAAATGAATTTTAAATTTGATTCATCATGGTCTGAAAAAGTTCTTTAGAAGTCTGAAGCAGAAACCCTGGGAAGGGTTTGATCTTCCCAGGTAAACTGTAGTGAGCTACATTCCCTATCATGTTACCATTTCTAAACTGCATCATGGAAAATGGGCTCAGATACAGCTGCTCAGGAAACTTTGTAGAAAGTCATTTACCTCTTCAGACATTTTGTTCCTGACAAGAAACTATGGTCATTGATGATGCGTGAGTAGGAGGAAGTATAAGTGGAAAAACAAGGTGATGGTGGTGAAGAAAGTCTTTGTCTTCAGAGACTGATGTGAATATTTCACTTCAACAGTCTCCACTTAACAATCATAATAATAACGTCTTTCCTTTATCTTTCCATCATCTTGATTTTTTTTAGTTAATTTAATTTTGCAGTTTTCGTTGCAAAAAGCACAGCAGACAACAAACACACTGTCATCCAACATATATTCTGAGACCATTATGTCATTACATTTGAATGTTTTGTTTCTGTTTGTCTCATCTAGGACTCGGTAGAGAGCATGCAGTCTATAGACAGCTGTGAGTACATCTGGGAGGCAGGGGTGGGCTTTGCACAGTCCCCCCCTCTCAACTACATCCATGACCTGAACAGGTGAGTCAGCTGGCAGGGTCCAACTATGCTTGATGTGTCTCAATCAAACTCTCTGCTCTCATCCACACGTTGGACTGAGCAGCTTTTGGTTTGTCCCCCTCTGTATCTTTGTCTCTGATCGTCCTCAGAACAGAGCTGCTGAGATTGTTACTAACCTGCTTTTCGGAGGCTATGTACCTGCCTCTGTCATCGGACAACAGCGTCCTCAACCCCTGGGTGACCTTCTTCTGCTCCACAGAAAATAGGTAACGTACAAAACCGCTCGATTGGACAACATCCCTCAAGCGTTCAAGTGATTTGTTTGTTTTGTTTCATCAGACTTTTTAATTAAAGAGATAAAACCTTGATTTTATGAGGTTATTACAGACCTTTCCACCACATTTCAGATTGAGTTAAGATGTTAAGATCTTTTCTCTCTTTATGCCAAACTACTCTCTTCATAGTCAGGAATTTTTAATTTTCAAATGTATGTACATCGTTATTTTATGTTAATGCAGGAATTATGCAGAGAGGTATTTTCATTTCTCATCACTACTTAATTTTTATGAGGATTCAAACAGGACACTTTTGTGGAAATTACTGTACATAAAAATGTTCATACTTTTTTTTTTTTGCATGCAGTAAGGGCTAGGGATACACACATACTTTCGATAGACTAACACAGTCTTAATGTCCTTGTTCCTAGACATGCTCTGCCTCTGTTCACCTCTCTGCTGAATGTGGTGTGCGCCTATGACCCAGTGGGCTACGGCATCCCGTACAATCACCTGCTCTTCTCGGACTACCGGGAGCAGCTGGTGGAGCAGGCCGTACAGATCCTCATAGTGACGCTCGAGCACGATGGAGGGGTTCCCCACCGCCCTGCGTCGCCATCCAGCATCGAGGAACAAGAGGTAAGACGCCAAGACCCTGGGAGAGAAATCAAATCAGATGTGGCATGTGCTCAATGTCCTTGAAATAAATCTCTGTATCTTTGTGCAGTCGACAGGTCCTGAGAACCTGTTTGTGAATTACCTGTCGAGGATTCACAGGGAAGAGGTACTCACGTCATCATTTCTATTAGAATATGTAGATTTTCCATGTAAACATCACTTGACCAAAGCTTCTTCTCTTCTCAAATCTACAGGACTTTGACTTTGTGTTGAAGGGCCTAGCACGCCTGCTGACCAACCCTCTGACTCAGACTTATCTGCCAAACTCTACGAAGAAGATCCAGTTCCATCAAGAGCTGTTGGTTCTCTTCTGGAAGCTCTGCGACTTCAATAAGGTTGGAAAGAACTTAGAGTTTCTTTTGTAAGATGTACGTCAGAGTGCAGCATGGGCCGCGGAAAAAAACAACCAAGCCCGAAAAGCTGCACTGAGTTTGTGATTATGCTACATCTGTCTATCTATCTATCTATCTATCAATCGATTCCCTCCCTTCTGTTTTTCCACTGCAGAAGTTCCTGTTTTTTGTCCTGAAGAGCAGTGATGTGCTGGATATTCTGGTGCCCATACTCTTCTACCTGAATGATGCCAGGGCTGACCAGTGTGAGTCTCATCCCATTGTCTTTCCTGCAACACATAAAACACTGCCTCTCCTGTGCGTTTAATCTGTTGTGTGTTTCCTCGGGTGCAGCCCGCGTTGGACTCATGCACATCGGCGTGTTCATTTTGCTGCTGTTGAGCGGGGAGAGAAACTTTGGCGTGCGCTTGAATAAGCCCTACTCCGTCCATGTGCCGATGGACATCCCGGTGTTCACAGGGACTCACGCTGACCTGCTCATAGTGGTGAGACACCTGCTCTGTTACATTATCTTAAGATTCAAGCAATTCAAGAGTCTCTATGGTCGTTGTACTGCTGCAGACGACAACACTGCAGAGTTGCGATGGCATTTAGAAAATGGTATTATGCTGCTTTCAGACAGGCACTGAAGTCTGGACACTAACTAACCCAACAACTAATGCAAATGTTAGTTGCTATAGACATTTTATAGATTTTTTCTGCCAGGGCCATGAACGTAGAAGATGCAGACAAAGACATCAACTTTTAAAAGACATCTATGAAAACAGCTTGAGAAAAAATAAAGTATAGAAAAAAATTAAATAAACTATAATATATTAAAATAAGGTATTGTTTTGATTAGCAGTGTTCGAATTGAAAAAGAAATAATCAGCAGCACGATATAAATACAGATGAATATAAGCAGCAATAGTTGAGTGATTGCACAGTTCTGTGATGCGTGTACAGTAAATGGAGGGGTGGCCGGTGTTTTCACAGCTTCAGGGAAGAAGCTGTTTTTCAGTCTGGAGGTTTGTGTTGCACATATTGTCCTTTAGCTCCACTCGGAGGGGGAGGGGTTTCAAGTGGTGACGCTCTTTATTGCCGTGCTCACATCTGTCGCTCTGTTTGTCTTGTAGGTGTTTCACAAGATAATCACCACAGGCCACCAGCGGCTCCAGCCTCTGTTTGACTGCCTGCTCACCATCGTTGTGAATGGTGAATATCTTTGGCGCCATCTGTTGGGCAATGCTCAAATTTGATTTGCAATATCCCCTATGATAAAGTTGTCATTTTTATGTTTTAGATTATTATGTTTATTATTGTTCTTGCTGCTTGTTCTGCAGTCTCTCCCTACTTAAAGAGCCTGTCCATGGTGGCAGCAAATAAACTGCTCCACCTGCTGGAGGCCTTCTCCACCGGCTGGTTCCTGTTCTCTGCAGCCCAGAACCACCACCTTGTATTCTTCCTCCTCGAGGCTTTTAACAACATTATCCAGTACCAGTTTGACGGTGAGGGAAAGCTGATCGAGTGTTAGAAAGAACATTGTTTGCTTATGCAGATTCAGCTGTTTGTATAAATCCATCTACTCATTCATTCGCCTAAAGGAAACTGCAACCTGGTGTACGCTATCATCCGCAAACGTAACGTGTTCCACCAGCTGGCCAACCTGCCATCTGATCCCGCTTCCATTCAAAAGGCTTTGCAGAGGAAGAGGAAGTCACCAGACGTAATTTCCCGCACAAGCTCCCAGGAGACTGTGTCCATGGAGGGCTCTCACCCTGCTGTGCCGGCGGAGCCTGGTACTCTGAAGGCCAGTCTGGTTGCTATTCCAGGTACAGTTATGGATATTAATATTTGAATATCAATTGGTGAATTCATTGCATTTTTCACGTTTTGAAAACCTGCAACCCATTTCCCACAGGCATTGATAAACTCACAGAGAAGTCACAGGTATCGGAGGATGGCACCATGGTGTCCATCCCAAAGACCGATTCCACACACGCTGGCCACCCAGACCAAAGTGCAGCTGCAGGGACCAGCGACACAGAGTCGAACTCAGGCAGAGACAATGAAGTAAGTGCGTGTGTCTCAGTCTGTGTGCATGTGTATTTAGAAATATGCACGTTTGTAAATCTTGTTCTTCACATTATCAGGATGTTTTCTACACTGAAGCTGAAATGGAGAGGAGACGTTTGTCGAGTGCGTCTTCAACATCATTTTGGGCTCCAACACCAGACTGGGTCAGTTACGTCCTCTCATCCTTGCCTTTATTTTTAGATACATGTTGGCTATTTGATCAGAATTAAGCTGCTTTCAAACATGCACTGAACTCTTAATATCCTCCAGAAACGATCCGATCTGTAAACGGGAACATGTGATTTCCACAGCAGAATTCATACAAAGTTTGGCCATTTTCCAGAGTTCATGTCTGAAAACGGCTTTAGTCTGATGTAGATTTACCTCTTTTGACCTCAGATTCTCTCCTGGAAGTGTAAGCTACCCTTGCAGACTATCATGCGTCTTCTACAAGTCTTAGTTCCCCAGGTGGAGAAGATCTGCATTGACAAGTATGTGAACACATCTTTTATCTAATGTAAAATCCACATACTTTTATTAATTGTGCTCACTTTTCCCTGCAGGGGTCTGACGGATGAATCAGAGATCCTGAAGTTTCTCCAGCATGGCACATTAGTGGGCCTGCTGCCAGTTCCTCACCCCATCCTCATCAGAAAGTATCAGGCCAACGCAGGCACTGCCATGTGGTTTCGTACTTACATGTGGGGTGTCGTCTATTTGCGGTGAGTCAGGCGTGAGAGCTGAGCATATTGTCATAGCATACAAAACCTTACTCCTTTGGTTTTTTTTGATTTTGCAGCAATGTGGACCCTCCTATCTGGTACGACACTGATGTCCGCCTGTTCGAGATTCAGAAGATGTAGACAGAAAAAGGAAACACGGTCCTGCTCAACGCCAGGGTTCCTCTTCCCTTCATTATCTGCTGGTTTCCCAGTAAAACTCACTGTGTTTAACTTGCCTCCGTAATCGTGGTTTTCAAAATGCTTGTCCCGTTCGCCGCTGACTTGGGAAGGAGATTCATTCAGATGAGTGAGGAGATAATGTTCAGAAAAAGAGGATGAATGGCTGAAGTATTGCCTATTAGGAGAAACTTTTTTCTTCAGACCTCAAGACCACAGAATGTCTGTCAAAGCATCGAGACAACTGGAGCTGAAAACTGAGGCTCTTCTCTCGACAGCATAGACCAGGAAATGTGGTTTAACTTTTCAGTCTGACTTGTTATAGAAGATATCGTGTTTTTTCCAACAGAGGCTTGCATCATACGTATCCTGGATGGCACAGTAGTGTTGTTTCACGTTGTCGTACTTGCCATGCTTTAAAGTGAACTTGCACTCTTTATAAGTAGTCTTGTTATTATGGTTGTAATTTATGTTATGATGTAACTCTGAGGTTAGAGATGATTATACAGATGTTTTTATGTATATGGGCAGGTTTACATTATGAGCCAGGCTGGATATGCTTATAATGCTTGATGTTGAAACTGTATTTTCCTTAAATTTTCCTGAAAATATATATTGGTAAGCATCAGAATTCTGTCTCATCTGCTGTCAACCCTCAGTATGTAGCGCACCACTGACTGTATATAACGATAGATGACATGATGGCTCCCCTAAAGTGAAGCCTTAACTTCTCGATCAATGACAACTAATGCACTTTTTTTTTTCAAAGTAAAAATTTATTGATAAAAGATAGATTTCATATAAGTTACATGTACGTCACATAAAATAGACTTTATAAAATGACTGTTATGTACAGTGGAAAATGGGTAAAGCTAAGAGATTAAGTAGACCTCAAACAGACTGGCTACTGAGTGCATGCGGTAGAAGATCCCAAAAGGAAGTCCAACGTTCACAATCGCAGCCCACGTTGTAAATTTGTAGAGTTTAATCTCCACGGGGTGATCGAACTGGGGACGGGCACCAAATGCAGGCATGATCCACATCTGTCAGAGAACAGGTGAATAAGCAGGACACAGGAAAACTGGGTTGGTTGTATTTATAGTTGATAATTTTAAATAATAAGCAAAAATACAACTTACTATGATGTTGGCGAGCAGCAGAAAGGCACACACTTCCTTCAGTATTCTTCTCTTCCAATTTGGCTTGTCGACATTTGAATTCAGGAAGTAGTTTGACTTGTTGCCCTCCATTACAACCATCGTCTCTACGTGTTCGTGGAAGGTGTGAGCATTTGTGTGCAGCGCCGCCTCCTGCATCACATGGAAGGGCTCCCGGTGCATGCCCTCGATGATGAAGTAGTTCTGGAGGCCGAGCTCCAGCACCATCAGCACGGCCCACGCCAGGTTGAGGGCATTCAGGTAGCCTCTGGCTCCCGTCGCCACCATGGCCACGATAGAGAAATAGCTGATGACCAACTGTCCCATCGAGGCTCCCACCAGCAGCCCCATATCCAGGGTTCGAGTGGGGTTCTTCTCCGACACGTGCTCCCTGCGGTCGAGCCTGTAGACTATGCAGCCGATCATGGCGGCGATGGACATCAGGCTCACAATCACTACATTGGTGATAAAATGAATCAGTAAGGCTTCGTTTCTCTTCTCTTTCTCCTCCTCCAGTATGCCCACCTCGTACAGTATAAACGTCACAAGTCCCGACAGAAAAAGAAGAATTCCCGTCACGGGTCCAAAACACACATCCTTTGGACGAAAGTTGACATTGTGGTGGCTGTGGTCATCCACGAGTCGACCCACATTCTTCCACATGACGTACGCCATCGCAGAAGCAAAAAGGCTGTACTCTATGTTGAAGGGGTACAGGTAGTAGAAGGCCTCTTTGAAGGTGTCGCACATCGAGTGGCTGCATTTGCACTTTCTATCCCCGTAGCTCGCTGAAATGTTGACAACAGGTTAGAGTTATTTTTCTTGAACTGATCAGGAATGTATCCAATTACAAGCGACAAACACAGATACCTCTGTACAGCTTGTGAGAGACGCTGGTATTTAAATCAGGAAGTTCAGTTTGGTGAATTGATTCTTCAGTCACTGCTGCCATCCACACCACCAGGTTAGTTGACAGTGTGAGAGTGAGCCCACACCTGAAAGAGTCAAACAACGAACACATCCTGAATTCAGGGCACAGGGTAATTCATGTGCAATATTAATTAATCCTATTATCATTGCCCTGACTTCTACTTTAGTATTAGTTCACCTTTGCATATAACTCTATTTCTATTGTAATTTCTCAGCACAGGTTCTACATAGACACAATATCCACTATATTTATATCATATTATTTTTATACTTAATACAGGGCACATCCAGGGCACAGGGCAGCCTGCATAACTCCACGAAGGCCCAACAGTCCCCTTAAGGTAAATTGAGCTGCACCAAATTTCACACACTCAGGTCTGTCCCCTAAATGTGCCCAATTTCTTTTGATCCACTCAATCTTTTATGGAACACTGAAAATGTTCCATAACACCCTATCTCTCAAAAATGTAAGAATTTCCTCTGATCAGCACTTCAATTTAATGGGACCTCCCTGACCCATACTGCATCATTCCATCATGGAAAACAGTTCTTTTGTTTTTGTGTAATCTTGCCTTAAAACAATCGGATGAAAACATAACGAGTTGACTGGAATGACAAAGTCACTTACCGAGTAAAATTCGTATGTATCTGCACACAATCTTTCGCATGAGTCCACAGGAAGAATGTCTACAAATAAAAAAGAAGTTCTGGTAGGTTTTCACAACTCATCCAGCGTCTAATATCCTTAATGTTCTTAATATTAAGATGCAACAACCTGGAAAAACAAAAACACAGCTTGCACGACAGGGAAGGCGACTTTAACAGCCGATTCACAGTGAAGGTAGCCCACATAGTTGACGATCTTGAATGAGTCCATGAGGAGACTGAGGAGGCCGAACAGCACAAGTCCAACTGCGAAATAACATAAAGGTGATAAGGCCTTGAAATGAAGCCCATCCAAAAACAGAGATACAAAAGAGTTCTCACCTCTGAGCCACACCGGCCCCGCATGGCTGTCTTTGAACAGGGCTTGATCCTTTCGAGAGGTGACAACAGTGTAGAAGAACATCCACAACATTGTGATGAGGAGGAGGACGATGATGAAGATTTGCTGGTGCACGGTGGTGATGACCCCGCTGATGGCACTGGCGCTGACCATAGCACAGCCCACCATAAGGATGTTTATGCAGATGATGCCCGACAGGAGCCAGCCGCCACCGTGGTGGGCCCGCTCCATCACGGCCTCCACATGGTGGACACAGTCTCTCACTGCCTCCACACTGGGAGTGTGGGACGGGCTGGGCAACTCATGGATGTTTTCCAGATGTGCTGCAGTTTCTATGTTTGACGGATGGGCCTCCACGATGTCGTTTGGTGTTTTTCTGCAGAGAACACATTCAGGTGATTTGAACAGCTGAGAATTCCAAGATATTTAGATAATTCAATTCGAACATTGAACAATTTAAAGAGATAAGAGATGTAATTTATCTTAATGCACTTCAAACTTCAACCTATCACATAAAGGAATGTATCTAGATAGCTACTGTTTGTGTAGCGGTTGATTTAACAATTTTAAATTCACCCTGAGAAAAGTTTGTTGCAGGTCCGGAAAATCTGATAAGCTGCAGTTTTCATAACGTAGGGTGAAAATCACAGTGACGGCAGGTGCAGGTTTTGGGACCAGTTAGAATTCATCTATGGAGATTGACAGAGATGCTAAGTGCTGTAAAAAAAAGAAAAATGTGTGAACCGGCGTTGTTCTCTCTTCAGCCCAAACTGCACAGTGAGCTGCAGCTTCACCACACAAGCTGCAGTCAATGAAGAAGGTCAGGTGATGGCAGTTTGGGCTGATTGGCTTTATATATTTACTACCATTAACACGGCCCTGGTGTTAAAGTGACAATAGCTGTAAGAGAGTAAAATGACCCTTTTTAAATTCATTAAACTGTGTGTTGTGATGTTTCTGTGTTTCATTCATTTAAACAGTTTTAATCTTGACTCTAGAGACGTTTAGTTTTTATACTTAAGTCAATGTTATATTTGCAATTTAAGTACATTTAACTTCAAAGGAGAGACCAGAAGCCTTAGACATTTTAGATTCTTTTCACTCCTTTTCGAATATGTACATTAAATCATTAAGCATTTGTCTTTTCTTTTTTATCCTCATCAGTTTGTAAATAATACTTTTTTCAGTTTTTTTTTCACTTGTATAATTTCTTCTTTTTTATTTACATGTTTGAAATAGATACAAAAAATTAAATGAAACTACATGCACTGCATACATGTTAATAAAATTGGGATATTTTAAAATAGAAAATGAGCACTGATTAGATTGAGAATAGTTTGTGCTGGCTCCTTTCCATGTTAGCCTGAACATTTACAATGAATTTAATAGGAAATGTTTTCTCTACCTTGCAGCCATAGCTTCTGGCCTGAATCATATGTAAAGAATGAGGGAATACAATTGATTATAAAACCCACATCAGTGTAACATGCATTTTCAGGATAAAAAAAGAAAATATTCAGGATACTCATACGTATACATGCAGACAAAAGAAATGAAAAGTTGGTCTGTTGCAGATTTAAGTGTAAATCTTTTACAGGTCACCTGGTTGATGTGGTACAGAGCTCATCAACTTTAAAGCTGCGTGCACTCGTGTTGGTCACAAGCTTGGTAACAAAGGTCACCTGGTGTTGGCTCAGTGTGTCACAAACATTCAGGATGCTGAAAACACCAGACGTGCTCCTTCTCCTCTGTCTTGTCGGGGCAACGGATGCCCTGTACAAGCAGTGGATCCCCAACACCAACTACGAGAACAAGACCAACTGGGACAAAGGAGCTGTTCCATGTGGCAGTGACATAGTTCAGTTCTCAGCCCAAAGAAAAGTGTCTGTGTTTTTGGAGACTGCGCATGCTGTGCAGGAGCTGAGGCTGCCAGTTGATGGAGAGTTCATCCTGTATGAGGGAGCTGGATTTTATGTTGTGTCAGGACAAGATCCAGGCTGCGGACAAGGTGTCACTGCCCGGTTCAACGATTCAGACTCTCTGCAGTGGTTTGACCCAGCTCTGTGGCAGGCAGGTGTAACACAGAATGAACTGCAGCGTCAACCCTTCCTGTTCTCGGTCCACGAGGAGAGCGTCCCCTGCCAGTACGATGAGGTCATTTTTAAAGCCCTCTCCTCCTTTAGAGTGGACACCAGCTCCAGTCAGTCTAGCATCCCTGTGAAATCCGTGTCTGTGCTGGGGGAGGTGTTTGACAGCAGATCTGAGTTTTCTGAGTACCTTAGCTCACGCTCAGGTCGGCTGCAGTTTCACGGATCCTCTGCAGTCACTGTTGGGAATCCAGGCTGCGGGGATCCTTCTGGCTGTGAGTGTGGGAACTCTGTAAACCGTCAGCGGATCTGTAGCAGTGTGACATGCCCGTCCCTGAACTGCAAGAAGCCTCTCTTCCCTGTCGGACACTGCTGTGAGGTATGCGGGGCCATCATCACCATCCATTATGCTGCTGGTTTCAACCTAGAGAGTTACAGGCAAAGGATCCATCAGCTCTTTCTTGTATGGCCTAAGTATGAATCCATCCAGCTGGGCATGTCTAAAGTCTTCAAGTCGCAACGTTTGATGGGGATCGTCCCTTTCGGTAGCACACCTGAGATCCAGGTTGTTATTATGGACGGAGAGACAGGAGCACGGTCAGAGGCTCTGGCCTGGGAGATCTTGGAGGATGCCCGTTCCCATGGCTCTAAACTCGGAATCGCTGCGACTGAACTTCAAGCCTCCTCTGGTAACAACCAGTCTGGAGGCAATGCAGGGATGGTGGTTGGAGTTGTATTTGGAGTCTTGATCATGATTATGCTTATTATCACTGTGGTCGCCCTGATTCACAAGGGCGTTGTTCAAATGCCATCAATGCCGTCTGTGCCTTCTCTGAGGAGCTTCAAGAGAAAGAGCGACACTGGAGACCTTGTAGGGCCTCTTGACCATGGATTTGACAACCCAATGTTTGACGACCTCAACGTGATGTCTGACCTTCCTGGTCTGCACGGGAATGAAATGAACCCAATTTCCATGACTCAGACAAGTGGTGTGTACTTTGTGAATCCAGTTTATGATGAGAATGAAACTGATTTTAATGCCTAGGTATGTTAATGATTTCCAAAGTACTTTTGCAATGTGAAGATTTCACACACCCTCCATAAACAATCCATTGTCCCACAGCTTTATGATATAATAATTCAGCAATGTAAATAGACTTACACAAGTACAAACAGTCACTTAAGCTTTTATTAACTGAATGAACTTGTAACACAAATAAAATCATTGTTAGAAGGAATGAGCCGTAATAAAATACCATAAAGCTGCAGTAAATTCCAACATACCTATTGCTGCACAGGGTTCTTGTGGTCATGATGCAGAAATACCACTAGATGGCAGTAAATTTAACTGTCAATGACATATGAGGAAATTGTAAGTTCTCATGTAAAATCAATAAACATTTATGACACTGTTTCTACTGTGATGGCACCTGGTACTTATAGGGAAACATGCATCATTCTGCATTAACCAGACAAACTACATTGTCTTTCTTTGACAGCCAGACAATAACATATAAAGGCTCAATGAAATCAGCCTGGTATCTGTGGAGCAGCTTCATAGGACCACTCACATCATAGAAAGACACAGAGCCTTTATGGAAGTCAACATACAGCCCAATTCGTTTGACCTCAGTAACCTCCAGAGCCGTCTCCAGACCAGCATGCCAGGCAAAGAAACCTTGGCTGTTCCTCCCCAAGCACCAGGAAAAGTCGTTCCCGGTGATGCAACAGGTGCTATGCTCACCCTTGCGCTCGATGCTCTTGTATGTGACCCCCACGTGAGCCCCCTCCCCACTCAGCTCTGCCTCGACGTAGTGCCTCCCCAAGTAAATGCTCTGCGAAGTCAAAGCCTGCCGCCAATACTCAAAGCGGTCATGGTGGTCCGGGTAGCTGTGCTGCCAGGGGCTGGTGTTGGTGAGCTTTCTGTTGTCCTCCGTTACTCGCAGGAAGTGATGGGCGGTGTCTGGGTCAAAGGTCAAACTGATTGTGTCTGCAATAAAAGGGACAGTTGTGATTGGTAGCTGATGAGACAAATTGATAGGAATGAATCAACACAATATATTAGTGCATTTACATTTCACAAAGTCGTCTCGGGTTTCAGGATCAGCCAGGGATGGAGATTGAGATTCTGGCCTCAGGGATTTAGTACCTGGTTTATGAAGAATGAATAAATACAAAATGAATACATTGAGCTGACAAATATAACAAAACAGATTCTACACATATGTCAGCAGCTTTTAATCACCTCTTGCAAAGTACCCTGTACTTGAGCGATTTTCTCCAAAACCACAAATGTGAACCTCATGGTATTGATTGAAAAAATGTTGGAAGTCATTATGAGTCATCATCTGGGGACAACGAAATATAATATAATATAATATAATATAATATATCACATAAAGTGATGGTCCAACTGACACATTTTTCCGGCATTCCCAAAAAGACCACGAGGAGCCCTATGATATCAGGTTACGTGTCCAGAATAATATACACTCACCACCTTTAAAAAACATGCTCAGTTGGTCCCGGTAGGAAGAGAGAATCACATCACACAGCTCCTGCGTAGGATCAGTCAGGACTTGTACATAGGAGCTGAGATGGTCCATGCGGTTGATGTGCACACTGGGTAGACCCACATCTGAAGCTCCTTTCCTCCACTCAGAATATTCCTAGAACAAGGACAACAAGTGTCAGGTGTTATGACGTGAAACTAAGTTGATGATCCAGAACTGTTTGCTGTGAAATAAACTAAAATCCTTGTCTGCGTTTACACTGTCAACACTGCGAGACAACTCTGCACTGTGCTAGTTCCAGATCACATGATCACATTTGACTAACATGGGTGGACACCTACTTGGCCATACATTTCCTCTACTTAAACACCACTATATCAAATATTTCATATATTTTGTACCTGCAGGAAGTCGACATCAGATTTGATCTTGGACATTTTGTTAATTTGAGCCAAATTCTTCAGCAGTTCCGTTCTCCTCTGCTCCAGATGTGCCTGGATACCATCCGCCTGTCTGAGAGCTCTTCTCTGTTCTTCCTCCAGCACCTCCATCACCTCTTTTCTGGCCTCCTTCACAGCTGCCTGCACGCTGGCAAACTGCTGTTCAACGAATACACAAACCTCCTGCACTGAGGCCTGAAAGTGAGGGGGAAAACAGTTGTAGAACATGATAATGAGAATAGAATAACATCACTTGAATTAGGCCATTATGGTGAGATATGTAAAATGCCTTTATTAAGTCATTGTTGCTCTGCAGCTTTTCAATGGTTTTCCCAGCTGCTGAGGTGTTCTGGTTGATCTCTTTTTGTTTCTTCTGCATCTCAGTCTGCAAACAATCATCACAAACAGATGCTGCATCAAGTTTTCAAATAGGACTATAAAGTAACCAATGCAAGACCATTACTGACATACTCGGATTGAGGGATAAAATCCACATGGTTTAAAACCATTAACACATTTTTTTGAAAATGAAATAGGGCCATAGCCAAAATCTTAAATTTCACAATATATCTGAATTGTGTGTGTGTGTTTGAGACCTCAATTTGTGTCCGTGCCTCCCCTACAGGTGCAATCGTGTGCCCTTCGTGCTCTTGGCTCTCACAGTCCGGACACACACAGCAGCCGTCCACCAGGCAGAAGCGTTCCAGAGGAAGACGGTGAACCTCACAAAACCGACAGTCGACGTCGTGCAGGGGATCCACCAGACGGTGGTTTTGAAACTTGGTGTTCTCCAGATGTGGTCTGAGGTGGGCCTCACAGTAAGAAACCAGGCAGGTCAGGCAGGATTTTGTGGCCTTGCTGGGGCTGTCCATGCAGGAGTCGCATGGCACATCCTGTGGGACCACAGTCTCACACATCTCGAGGGTTGGCTGCTCCGTTTCCTCCTTTATGTTGGTATTGTGTTGAATATCCTTCAAATTCTCCTTGTTACTGCAGAGCATTGCCATGAGTGTTTCTCCGGTCACGTTAATCTTGATATGGCAAGACAAGCAGTGTGCTTCTTGTTGCTTTTTTCTTGCCTTTTCTTAGTTGTGAAGTCCCTCAGAGTGCATGTGGAATCAATTGAAAACCACGCCTAAGGTATTTTGCACAGAGCCAGAACTTTCCCCACACCCATGTCTCTCTGCCCTGTATTCAGCCTCACTAAGCTTACGACAAACGGAACATTGCGGAAATCATGCAGAGGAAATGACGAGTTCATCATGCCGCTGGGGAGGGGAATGAACATCCTCTTATTTACTTTTATCGTCACATTCTCAGCTGAAGGTGTTTTTTCAACAATTGAAAAGACTGGGTTCTGATTCTAAGGTGACTGGATATAACACATCTGCATTATCTATGGTTATGGTGTCTTAAATTTGTCTTTCACTGGAGAGTTTAATACTATTTCCTTTTGATAACAATGTTATGGAGCTTACAGAGAAAACTGCTTATCTACAGTGCAACTTCCTGCCTTCGTGCCACGGAGCAATGATGCCTGTGTTTTGTGTAAGTCAACAGCAGGATTATCACTGCAGATGCCAACACAAGTATTTTTCCACTCTTGTGTCTTTCTCACACACGCACGCACGCACACACACACACACACGCACACACACACACACACAC